ATAACTACAGCTGTACCAAGTCTCGTATGACGACTTCGACACCAGTATGAGACACTTATATTATTGTAACACAGACTAAAGGGCAACTGTCTGAGTGTACAATCTATCTGAAATTGAGTCATGTCGCTTACCAGTTTGCGAACATCAACTGTCAATTCAGTAAGAGAAGAGTCATCACTCCCCGAGTCTGAGTCCTCCCACTCCTTCTCCTCTTCGTGTTCTTCTTCATCGTATTCATAGCGTTTAGACTCTTCAGCTTTTACTTCTAGTTTCTTTCTCGTCAAATATTCCTGTGTTTGCAGTCGCTTCTTTTCCAGCCTCATGTTCAAAGCTTTTCTGAGTCTCAGCTGTCTCTTCAGATAGTTCAGTCGGAATCTCACCACGAATAAGTGTTTCTTGGAAGTTTCGTTGGCTTCGTAAATAGCCGACGTCCACCTGAAAGTCAATAGCAATACTTTATAAAATCTAAGGGCATGCATATATTCAGTTGTTGGAATGGTAAATAGTATATTATCCTACCTATTTCATGCCAGGGCTCACTCCTCCCACCATGAAAGAAAACATGCTTTATTGTAAAAAGTCTGGGACGATCTTAATTTCATATCATGAAGTTTTATCATGAATCATTATTCATGACGTCACAGATTCGTAAAAGCAGTATCGCTCAAACTTATTATGGTTCCGTTGCACCTCAGACAACTGAAAAAAAACTAAAACTTCACCAAAATGTTGGTTACATACGTGTCCTTAGTATCGCCGCTTGTTGACTGTAGTCGAGGAGATGACGTCGTACTGTCATCCCGGTCGCTGTATTTACTGGAAAACGGCAAGGCCAGCGATGCTTCCTTGTCAGCCACCAACTCATTCGGATCGATACTCAAGTCCAGGTGACCTTGTGCTTTCATCATATCCTGGTGTCGACGCCAGTCATTTATGAAATCTCGTGCCTCAACGCGAGACATGTCCGTGTTGATCTGAGAAGTGAACAGGCAGGATATGTAAATGGTAGTTACACAATGTTACAAAACGCGATTTCAGCAGAGAATGTTATGTTTATTATCTACGAAGATATTACGCTACTGCATGCTTACCCTCCCGAACACCATTCTGGCCGTCGGCAAAAAGCCAACAGCGGCCTCGGCAGGATCCCGATTGCCTACAATTAATAAGCACTCATCGGGTTCTTCTCCATCCACGTCCGATAATTTTGATCTCAGGCCCAGTGATGTTTTACTCCTTGATACATTGCGACCGTTTCTTTTTTTAGGTTGATAAAGAGCCGACTTAGGACGAGGTTTGAATCCTTTCAAAAAATCTTCCATCCCGTCGTTTGAATATACTGATCTGGTGTGAAGAAATAAAAGTGTTAAGATGTATCTGCGAATTATCGAATCAGCACACGATCATACACCTTTTTATAAATCAAGCCATTCAAAGCGTTGATACAGTTTCAAGGATCTGCAGGAGTATAATTAATTGTCAATTTGGCCTTTTTAGCGTGATCGCGAAAACTAGCGTGCCCGCGAAATCTTAATTAATTATATTTTTTTTTTGGTAAAACAAAAAAGAAGTCCCGACTTTGCCAGACTAGCTTATATCAACAAAGTTGTTTGTTACAGGTTTGCTATCTTCAATATGACGAATGACTACGCAAATAAACGCAGTCAAATTTTACTACATTCTGGCACAGTCCCTGTGATTCTGGTCAAACATGGTCTTTACCTATATAAATAAATATAATGTTTGCATTTCGGTATTAGTCAAGGTCAACAGTGAAAAGTACAAAACTATGACATTGAACAAAATTCCCAAATATTAGCAAAAAATGTAATTTCCATTTAACATGAAACATAATAGTAATCATGACCCCGGAATGATATAATAATGCGGAATTAAAAGAATTAAAGATTTTGACCTACTAACATGGTCACATGACGCAAATCATAGAGAGGGTATAGACTGGTTCTACTTACAACGACGTCCGCGGGCGCTTCTTGATATTTACATCATGTGGAATTATTTTGCTTATAATTTGTTCTCCTCCCGGCTTTTTTATCAGTGACGTGATCACTTCCTGACGTTTATATTCCTCCCAAACCGACTTGTCATACCCATAGTTCTTCACCGCCACGTCACCGATATAGGTGGATTTCGTATAGGCACGTAACAATTTTAATAATGGCTCCCTAGCAACGCTGTCAAAATCAATTCTGTGAGAGAAAACAAACTATACTAAGTAGTTCATTGACAAGATGGGAGCAGATTAAACAACAAGTCAACTACGACGGTCCTCACCGAATATTCATACGATAATTCAGATCATATGTTACGGCCATGTTTCAGAAAAAAAATTGAGAAATTTGAAAAAGTGAGAACACGATCAAAATGAACTATTAAGATTTACCATGGGACATCGCAACTTACTTTTTGATTCTAAAACACGTGACTATTCCCATGGCAACTACACTGTGTAAACTGCGACTCTCATTCATCAGGCCTTCAGCGCCAAAAAGTTCGCCTGCAAAATATAAAACACGTCATATTCACTTTAGACTCGATTTCCAGTCTCGTAGTTTTAGGCTGGGTCAGAAAATCCAGTCGTTTATGATATAACTAGTTAGATGCAATATTGTACTAATACTAGAAATATCACCCCAACAGGTGCTGTTTACTACAAAGTTGTTGGGAATTGCAGAAATAAACAAAAAAACAAAAAACAAGAAGGACACGGTCTGCATATCTCCTCTGATTTCTCCATTGAATTAACAACTAGTTACTATCACCTAGCAACGATAACTATGCTTGGCAGACTTAAAAAAGTTAATTGGTGGTAATTTATTCAGAATAAATCAGAAGTAATTTCGTGACATAGCAACGAACATGTTGAGGTCTTCTGTTTCGAGATACCTCGGATCCAGGAATATGAATGCCACTGCGCCAAAATATATTAAGACAATAATCTGCACCATCGTAGTTACATTGTGTGTTATCATAAAGGCGACGAAAGGTAGGCACTGACTGAAATCTATGTACCCATACATACAAGTCCGTCACGTGTCAACCGACCAGGCATATGTTATTTTTTTCAACTAATAGGATTTAATGTGATGTTTGCATTGTAGCATTTGATTAAATCGTTTTAGTTGAAAAACACATTAGGCCAGATGGTCTGTCATTTTTTGAGATACCATTTTCTGATTATCTCAACAAGTCAAGTATTTTGTATTTTGCTGTTGGGTGGAATTTGCATACACATCTGATGCTTTTAATTTCATTGGATTAATTGATGTTGACAGAATTATTAATCTGATAAGATTTGTCTAACATATTAAATTTGATCGGATTATTCTGACTGTGTGAACAGATTACGACAACGGTTTAGTGCCATATCGCGGTAATGTTCGGCGTATTTCACGGAGTTTGGATGAATGTTTGGTTTCGCGAATGAAATAATTCAACGAACGGATGTTTGTTTCTAGCTTTCTTACCTTCATCAAGAATCCCGAGTTGAAATACCACATTTTTCTCTGATTCAGGTACATATAAACTACGAAGCAGCTGACACCGACCTGTGAGATAAAATTGAAACAGCGCCACCAGGTGTCAATAATCTTTCTATTCAGCACTCATGTGAGATAAGATACAAGATATAACATATCGTTACGCCGGAAATTGAGAACAACCGCTTACGGGAATCATGGATATTGATTGCTATAGATAATGTTTTAAAAATCAATAAATGCAAATGTATTTCTGCATTCAGAGCGTATAAAAGGGGCATAGATCAGCAATGATACACAAACATCATCGTAATGTTAGTTATTACCATGGGAACGCATCTTTGAATATATGAGGAATTGTGTACGATATCCCTTGTGTAACTGACAACATCACATACCTGAAACTATAAGAAAGAGAAATTTGGAGATTTCGTTTTGTCGAACTATCACTTTCTCTGCAGGGTATATCTGGAATAAACACAAATTCGACCAATTACATGATAAAACTGATGATTCGAACGTGCATCCTAAACTTCACATCGTATTTTACTCTAGTCACAGACTGTGCATTTCGAAGTCATATTATTTATGTTATAGTATTTGTTGTAATGGAAATAACCGAGCAATGCCGATCATGATTCTAATATTATTGGTCTATTCTATGAATATTTGATGTTGAGTTCAACATTTACGCTCGTTAATATAAAACATATAACGCGAATAATTGTCAATATTTGCGCCTTTGAGCCGGGAATATGAAATATCTCAATGTGATATCTGTGCTCCGTGGTTTAGACTTGCCGATGTTAATGTCACCAGACAATTTTCGACTAGAAAATCCGATCTTAGCCTAGTTATTCTTGTCTGTAAGCCGTTAACCTTTTCCAGCGATTGTTATTGTTAAGAGGGTGTGAAAAGCGTGGTATTTTAGTGTTTAACAGAATAAACGGCTTGAAAGCAAATCGTTCAGACGACATGTTGTTGTCATGGGAGGGGATTTTACACGAAACGCTACTGAACGACAACTATGTATATACATGTACCGTTACGGTAACTCACTGAGTAAATAACTGCGTGTATGGGCATGCTAATCATTCCATGTATTCAAATACTAGTATGGCAGAAAGCAGCTAATTGGCACAAACCTATTTAGTAACACAAATTTTCGCGAATTTCAGCCAGGGAACTTGCACAATTTTGTTTCAATTATATACTTGCAGAAGACACATATTAGTTAGGATTAAGCAGGCGACACGTATGACAGTTAGCAGACGACACGTATTTCTGTGTGACAGTTAGCAGACGACACGTATTTTTGTGTGACAGCTAGCAGACGACACGTATTTCTGTGTGACAGTTAGCAGACGACATGTATTTCTGCGTGACAGCTAGCAGACGACACGTATTTCTGCGTGACAGCTGTCAAACGACACGTATTTCTGCGTGACAGCTAGCAGACGACACGTATTTCTGCGTGACAGCTAGCAAACGACACGTATTTCTGCGTGACAGATAGCAGACGACACGTATTTCTGCGTGACAGCTAGCAGACGACATGTATTTCTGCGTGACAGCTAGCAGAATACACGTATTTATGTGTGACAGCTAGCAGACGACACGTATTTCCATGTGACAGTTAGCAGACGACACGTATTTCCATGTGACAGTTAGCAGACGACACGTATTTCTGCGTGACAGAAAGCAGACGACACGTATTTCTGCGTGACAGCTAGCAGACGACATGTATTTCTGCGTGACAGATAGCAGACGACACGTTTTTCTGTGTGACAGCTAGCAAACGACACGTATTTCTAAGTGACAGCTAGGAGACGACACGTATTTCTGCTAACAGTCGGCATTTATTTCAATTATAGCAAAAGACAAGTATTGTAATATAACAGCAAACGTATTTCAAAATGGCAGTTAGACGATGACACATATTGCAAAATGGCAACTAGCCGATGATACGTACTTCAATATAATAGTAGCTGGCGGCACGTATTTTAATCTGGCAGGGGTGATAATTATGCTAGTAAGTAGCATGAATTGTAAACTGCCAAATCAATAAGAAAGGCGGCTCTTGGTCTGATCTGTTCTACGAAACTAAAACGCACGTGTGGCCTGGCGTGTAGAACCTTTTGCGCAAGCTATCGCCAGCTTTCCTCATTTGGAAGTGTTCCACTCCCAGGTTCCATAACATCACTGCATATCATGAAAAAATAATAGTAATGAATACACCTCAGAATAGACCAGTCGTGTTAATTTTGCGTCGGACCAATATTTAAGAAATAATTATAAAATTGCCACGGCTGGGCCAGACTACAATAAATAGAACACACACAAAATCCACGCAAACTATGCTCTGTAGCATATTCTTAGACGGTACAATCGGATAATGTTCCCATGATTTTAAATGATCTTTGCCTAATGGTATACTTCAGACATTACAAACGAGAATGTATCATTATATTATATCAATGAGGCGTTTTTTAAATATTAATACATACTTCCTATAATATAGACGCTGTAGTGATAAGGAAACTCAATTATGAATTATCCACGCTCCCGGGCATGGCGGCTGTGATTGATGGCGCCCTCAACGAGAAGTCGAAGAACGGTACATTTATTTCATACTGTGCTGAGCTTTTCACGTTAGTTGAATATTTTTATTCTGCTGAAATCAAATCTGACCGTCCACCTACTTGGTTGAATAAACCATTTGCAGGTTTCTGATATCCGTGGCATTTGTTATTTCTATTACATGTACATGATAAATTGCTGGGTTTGTTCCAAGCTGGGCCACAACGCTCACGATAATCATCAATACAACACTTTGTACCACGTGACTACAATGATACATTTACTTTAAAGTTGTGGGGCGATATTTTGTATTTAATGATTAAAAGAAAACTAGCTACGAAAAAATAAGATGATAAACATGGCGGATGATGACGCACTTTGACGCAATTTTGCAGGACATTGATGTCTGGTCTATTGCGGACTACTAGTATTAGGCAGTGTATTATCCACATTGCGGTGTAATTTACGTATAGAAAGTGAGGCCTTTAGTATGAAACATCGTCTAGATCGATTTTGAGATGTTTATTTTATGTTTATACAATGGCGTAGCTTTGAAGATCAATAGTTCGACCTGAGAGAACGAGTGCTATATATAGCTTGATACGTGATAAGAATATTCACTAGACGTTTTGATATTTTATTCAACATCAACGAGACCGACAGACTACGTCGCTAATTGTTGGGTATGCTGATTAGAAGTGTATATTTATTGTACCGGCGTTTACTGGCAGCAACTGGAATCAGATAGATATGGATCAGCTCAAAATGGTAACGACATATGTATGCGTTGAATTCTAATGTATTCGTTGTCCGAGATCTGATTAAAATCTGATGTATTCAAGTTCTACGGCGTGTATTTTATTTTATTTTAATTTATATATTTATTTTATATTTAATGTTTTTTTTTCAACTTGAATTATTTTGTATTTATTCATGTTTTTTGTTACGCTCTTACCAAAACTTTAAAATATAAAATAATATAAAAAAATAAATACTAGATCAAAATAAAATAAAATAAAATAAAATAAAATAAAATAAAATAAAATAAAATAAAATAAAATAAAATAAAATAAAATAAAATAAAATAAAATAAAATAAAATAAAATAAAATAAAATAAAAGTCAAAACTATGATCTTATTTTAATCAAATTGGCGTTGACTTCATATATTACGTGTAATTTATGGTGTCAGTCGGTGGTTGTTGACCGGAATGAATACGTTGAATTCCTCAGTACAAACTAAGGGCAATTACCATGTAACTATCACGCACGACAATATTTACAGTATTGGCACTGAAACGACGTGTTGCTGGGTCCGATTACTTTTCGTCAATTGAATAAAACATATCTAGGATACCATTATCTTTTTTGGGATGTGAAAAAATACAATCTGCAGGAATTGCGCCATTGGATATTTAATAATGTATTTTTCCATTGCAAAATGCCATCTTGAAGTGAGGTGGCTCTGGCTAATAGACCATTTTCCGTTCACTGCGAGAATCACGCGTTATGCGTGAAATCGAACGTAAAAACAGGACAAACAAAGGTCATAGCGTCGTAGTCGCGTCAAACATCGCGTGGGATTCGACAAACGCGAAAGTATTTCGTTCACATTTCCATGCTTAATAATGTGCTGTCCACATTTGATGATAGGCAATTTCGATTAAGTAAGGGTATTCGGAAGCAATATTCCTCTGTCGAAGATCGGCCGGTCAATGTAAGCTGCGAAATAAAGAAATTCTAGTTCAAAATCAAATCGTTCGATTTTTGTGGCAGACGTTCGACGCGCGTCTTTCATGCATCTCGCGAGATCTCGCAATTGTACGGAAAATCACCAATTTAAAAGAAACAATCATAGTATACCTGTAAGCAATGACTCGACAGCTCTTCTGCGATGTATATTTATATTGTGCAATATTTCATACAGTTAAATACCTGTCAAAGTATCTGTATTTGTTTAAATAGTTCTTTTCAAACCAGTTGCGCAATAGTTCTATTTGTAATTTTATTTCAGGATTTTCAAAGTTGTATTAATCGTTTCAAAACAATGCCATTTGAACGTCATATTTTTATCTGCCAGAAATCAACAATTTGCGCGCTTTTATTTTTCCAGAATTTTTTCGTTAATGTATCAAATTTCCCATTGCTGCAGGTCATTTTTTAAATATGTGGAACAATGTGACCAATGTATACTTTAGCGTTCAAGGGGTACAATAACTGATATGCAAATTCTACGTTTCAGCAGATATTATATTACCAAAAAATCACAATATTCACAATATTTTTTTCAGACAAACAATTAGAAAACAAAAGGCAAAACAGGACTACTGCACACAATGAAACATATAATTGAATGCTACTGTAAACATTGTTGAGTTTATATTCTCGTTAACAGCATGAAAACGACATGATTGTGAATTTAGCATAGTCTATTTTTATAAATCTCATTGCTCTCGTAAGCCACATCATTAAGCACGTGACATGCACGAA